ACGGTACATAGAACGGCGATCGAACGAACATCATCTTCGATCCGAGATTTATTTCCTGCGTCCATGACCACCGCCCCCGCTCGCTGCAACCGACATGCCCGTTTCCTTAATTCTATTTAATTATCATCTTAAGACTTAGGCTTTAGACGTTAACCTTAAACGATTAAGCGCTAGCTTAGTGACTCACTTCGTACGTACACACTGTTGTTACCATTAAACCCCCGTTACCTTATTCCCTTTTCGCGTAAGCCTTCTGTCTTTTGCCTCTTCGCTTTAACTCTACACACAATCACGACACTCGATTCGCTACTTCGTTTCCCTTTTCTCTCTCTCTCTTTCTCACTCTCTCTCTCTCGCTCTTTATTCCTCTGTTTTTTAAATTACGTATATCGGTAATTTTTACGCGACTATATAAGAGTAAAGATAAAATATATAATTTGCATTTTACACGTTTCCGTTCAACGCTAGGAAATCTCGTTCATTTCCCGCTTCATTTCGCCGCATTTATATATATATATATTTACTCTATATATAAGTAGTTAGTTCGCTATCCAATGGATACAAAAATTTTTCACTTTAAGCTAAAACTGGCTGTTCGCGACGATCGCTCGCCGGATAATTATCCCTTCGCGACCTTCTAAACGTTCTTTTTTTTCCCACCCACTATTTTTTTCCGTCTTCTCCGTTCCGAAAATTGCATTCCGTGTCAGGGACGAACGATCGTCTAAACGGAATATCGAATGGAACGCGCGATTTGTCGCGGAGCAACGCCGCGTGATTATTGCACAATTCACTTTTTTCCCGCGTGTCGCGAACGGATTGCCGGCCAGAGAAATACCGGCGATAAATTCGCCAATAAAGACCCCGTACGATCTTTTCGTTCCCGCAGATAAAGAACCCACGAAAGAGTATTTCCAATCGTCGATTTCACCGCGCGTTTATGAATTGAGACACAACGACGTACCCCCGTGCCTTCGTCCAATCGGCTAAAACGTTCGACGAGGATTAATGTCGGCGAGACCGACGACCGCGAAAAGTCGCAGAAAACGGTTTGTCAGGCAGGCATTTATGCGTGAAATTTAGCCCGCGCTGTTGACCACTGTGTCGTAACAGTTGATACCGTGACGCAAGGGCAATAAATACTTCCTTTGTCTCGAAAGCCGCACCCTACGCTTCAATGCCGGCCATTACCTGGCCTACATAGATCCTATCGCTGATTAATGTACCCAGAATTAACGCGTGTCTCACTTACCTACCGCGAAATGCGAAAAAATCGGTCCCGAATCGTGTGAGGTTAATCGATTTATCGCGAGGGTTATAAATCGTAATCGATACACCGCGTTGGGGACCACGGTGACCGGCAAACGGGAGGAAATTTGCTAATCGACGTGATATACGATCGAAAACACGTTTGCGGTTTATTGTTCGATCTATCGATCGCGCGAAAAACCAACCACTAATGGCCGACGTCCACCGAATCATTGCCAAAATCGTACGCCACCCGTGAAAGTACCTTTTATGAAAAAATTTGGGGACAATAGAAGATTAAATTACGAGTATTTTCGAAACCAGAACTCATCCTGTAATTAATGGTGTATGATTTTGGGTACGATTCGTTACGACTAAATAAATTTCAGCTGGAATGTCCTTGGCAATGGTGGGTCAAACGTAACCTTTGCACGCCGCTATCTTCGAGCAGTACGTATCCAAGTAGTTTCGCGGAAGTAATTTAATATGAAAATTGAACGTCGATCGTTTATCGCCGGTGTTTCTCTTTCCACGAAACTTTCACGAAAACCCATACCGGCAACGATACGAAGCCCCTCGACGGGCTATCGAGTTTAATTGGCGCCAATTTGCCCGAGCAATTTAGGATCGCGACCCCTGACCGTAAACGTACGTTTCGGCGCCCCCCTCGTCACTCCTCCCAACGAAAAAGAGAGCCGCCCGCAAGGGACAGCGAGCGATCGTCGAAGATATTCCGTTTTTCACAGTTCGTTGCTCCTCAAGGACAAAAAGTTATACATAAATAAATCTCTCGAGAAAGAAAGGCCGGCCGGTGCTCAATCGATGCGCGTGCGCGAGCTGGACCATGTATTACGTATATCAGTTCCGTGTATCTCCCTTATTTTCTCCCCCTCGATCGCTTTTCCTTTTTTTTGTTTTTTTTCCCCCTCGTTGACGCGCGAACGGTACGAAAGGGAAGTTCGCGGGACACCGTTTCGCGCCCCCGGACGATCCCTCGATCCCGCGATCGTATCGCTCCTCGTTCTAATATTTTTTCACATTTTATTTTTTTTTGTCGTTTTCTCATTTAAATACCGTCTTTTCGTCGTCGTCTATACATATTACGTATTCGTTAATTATCGTTTATTACGTGTATCGTAAATTGCGTGTATACAAGGTATAAACTAAATTATGTCGATCTAAGTTTACAACACAGCACAAGAATTCGCCGCGGCGGAGTTCTCCGACGTGTAAATTTTATCTCCGATCGATCGAAATTTTATATCCGTTCGCAAAACTGGTTTCCCGTTTTATTCTTTTGGATCGACGCCTTGGTTTTTAGAGGGGGGGGGAGGGAGGGAGTGGAATTTAAAATTTCGACTCGTTCGAAAATAAAATTTTTCCCGACTCTGGCGTCGGCCCGCGGACGCTGCGACGCCGGATCGTGCACGGCGTCGGCGTCGTCGATCGCGAGTTTCGACGATCGAGCCGATAGATGGTGTTTGGTACTGCTTGGCACGCTTAACGCGTTCGATGGCCGCTCACACACGAAAACAGAATGTTTTGACTGGCAGCGAGCAAATGGGAAACAAAACGGATCACGATCTACACCGAGCAATGTGACTAGCGATTCAAACGAAGGGGTTGTTTCGCCCTGTTGGCCCCCTCGAGCCTCCTCGACTACCCTGGAATTATTTTTCACCCCTTTCTACTATCTTTTAAATTAATCAAGCACTGGGCAAACGAATAATATACAAATGATCTATCAAGTAAGGCTTTGAAATTCATTTTTAACTCCGAATAATTATTTATCACGCTTTTACTGTCATTCCAAGATGGCGGACCCTCTTAGGGTCTTGTACTAAAGATGCATCGCATGCTACGTGAAAATATCGAGTAATATTTAATTTATTAGTACGCCACGTTCTACGAGGACTAAAGAAATATTTTTCAGGCAAATCAAAACTAGAAGGCTCTTCGACACCTCTGGAATAATTTTTCACTCCTTTCCACTGTCTTTTAAATTAATCAAACACTGGGGAACAAGTAATATACAAATGATCTATCAAGTAAGGTTTTGAAATTCATTTTCGACCCCTTCAATCGTCATTTCAAGATGACAGTAAAAATATCGAGTAATATTTAATTTATTATCACGCCACGTCCTATAAGGACAAAAGAAATATTCAGAAGGCTCGAATGAAGCAACAGGGCGGACGATTTGGAGCGTTGACCGGTCAACGCGACGTCTCTAATCGGAGTACGGTTTTTCAGAGGAACATTCTGGCGTTTGTTAAGCATTCAGTCGCTGAAACTGGACGATCGTTCTATCGCGGTGAATTCTAACGCCATTTTATCCGAGCGTTCGAGCGGGTATTCTGAATCATTTCGCGACGGACGGCGAAATAGAGTTTTCTGTCGGCGGCTTTGCTCTCTAGAGTCGCCATTAAGGTGCCAAGCGGTTTCATGCCGAAAGCATCCTATTCCAAAAATACGCTACGAATTACATCACTTGGTAACTTGGCCTCGTGTCGCGCGGAGCAGCAGTAAATTTTCGGCGACCACTCGCTCGCGAGGACCTCTCGAGTTTTGGTCGTATCGAGGATCCTTCCTAGGTCGCCTTTTCAATTTTTCTACCGTTCATTGTTTTGAATATTTACAGGGGAAAACGATAAACGCGGCGCGATCTCGCGCGTCGAGAAAAATGGCGTTCCCAACAGAATCGACAAACGTTCGGGGGAGTACCAAGCTATAGAATATGTTTCGATTTGACAACGAGTGTCGAGATATTTGGATTCGTTCAATTTTTGGAATACTATAAAGTTAGCGTACGTTGCAAACACCTTTTTCCTACGACGACGCGTTACCCGTAATTTTCGAATTGTACGCTCGACGAGAATAAATTAACGATTCGGATCTCTTAATTAAGGTCTGTTTCGACGTGCCCTTCAAGCGGTATGCCGCCGAAAATGAATAGAAATTAAAAAATAGAAAAAAAAAACGCACACGAGCGTTGAAGAACAAGCGAATATCAATTTTTGTGGGACTGACCTTGCGACGACACCGATGAAGAATTGTCAAAGTCGGTATTCGATTCTGCTCCGCCGGAGGCCACCGCTCCCTCAAACACTGTTTTCGTTCGTTTCAGCACACTACGGGTTAACATTCCCGTTGTCGCGTACGCGATTGGCCAAAAATACTGGCGTCGACGGATCCCCGATCGATCGATCACCAAAAAATCACTGGAATTCAACCAATTACAGCACACAGACAGACACTGATACTTCACTGGTTCCACGATATCTCTCGTCGTTATCATTTCTTTTCCTCTCTTTTTTTTTAGCTCCTCCGCTGCTTCGTCTTTCTCTCTAAATAGGTGTGCAGATGTTCCCCGGAATTTCCTCGATTTTTCTCGTTTTGTTTTCCACGTCGAATCCTCCCGGCACTGGAGAAACACATTCGAAGATCACACTTGGCACGTTCGCGATTCCTAAATACCCTCGCTGAGCCACCGCGGTATTGTAGAGAAAAACCTATCTAAACGATCCTCTAAGAACACTAAACCGTTCATCTACTCGCTAAACAGAGACACGACGGACGACCGTCCTCGTTTCCGCTATTTTAACTAACCGCTCTACGACACTACGCGTGTACGACGTAAGAGAATAAATAATAAAACGCTTTCCTAAGGTATATTCGCGCGGTATTTTCCACATACACTCTCGTACCACGATCCGCAACACGACGTCACATTCGCTCAAAACCTTTCTCTCCTCGTCGTCGCGGCGCAACATTCTCGCTCATCTTTATACATATACACATATATGTATATGCATATATAACCACACATATATTTGTATGTATATATCACTTTACACGGGCTCATTCATTCTCTACTTACAATTACATAGATCCGAGCATTCGCGCGCGCAACTCCCACGTTCTCTCGCGACATTAAAGTACGTATATTTCGTTTCTCTCCGTTATCTCTATAATTATTATAATTATTATAGGCTTTAGTACAATTACATTCGGTTAAATGTAATAGAGGTTAACGCGGTTCTGATTAGCATGTGATCCAGTTTTCTTACGATCCGATCCCTCTTCTTCGGTTTCCTCGACGTTCCGCTACATTGTTATTAGAAGATCGCGCGTCCCTATAAATCTTCATCCGACTCGTTCCGTGTGTCCCGTTCCATTTCCTCTCTCTTTTCTGTATTCCCTCGTGTCCCTCGTCCTTCCATTCCTCTTATCTCGCATTCCCTTCCCTCTCTCTCTCTCTCTCTCTCTCTCTCTCACTCTCACCCTCTCTCTCTTTTCGTCCCTTTGTCATCGTCCCGTTCACGTCTTCACTTCCATATCTCCGCACTGTCTGTCGGCCGCGTTCGTTTCTCGTTCTCCGTTCGTCCCTTATATCCGTCATCCCTTCTCTCTTCTCCTTTTTTTGGTACGAGCAACTTGATTAACACGACAAAATAAGCGTCATTGCTGTTTTTTGGGGGGAGGGCTGGGGGAGGTGTATGTGTGTGTGTCTGCGTGTATATATACGAGGTGGGGTTGGTGGTTTTGCAGGAGATGTGGGGGGGGGGGGGGGGGGGTTTGGAGGTCGTCGGGGGTTGCAGGTCTGGCGGGGTTTCGGGGTTAGGGGTGGGGAGGAGGTAGTGCTGGAAACAAGGTATTAACGACCCTGAGAGAGATGAGACCTCTTTGGAAGTTCCACTCCTCGGGACTCTCTCAACCCTGCGGCGACGTCTGCGGCGAGATCTCGGTGTCGCCGTCGCCCGAGCCTGGCTCGCCCTTCGTCTTGTTCTCCTTCTTCCACTTCATCCGTCTGTTTTGAAACCAGATTTTGATTTGCCGCTCCGTCAGGCATAGCGCGTGCGCGATCTCGATGCGCCGCCGCCTGGTCAGGTATCGGTTGAAGTGGAACTCCTTCTCCAGCTCCAGGGTTTGGTATCGGGTGTACGTTTGTCGTCCTCGTTTCCTCTCTGAAACATGGAAAGGCCAACGGATTCTCGTTAGTGTCGCGTTTTCTACACGTTCTCGCCTGCTTATCGAAAGGAACGCGACCGCGAATCGGGGTTAACGCGTCCACCGCGCAAAACGAACCCAACGCCGTGACCTTCATCGCGATTGACCCCTGCTCTCTTTTTACTTTGCTACGATTCCTGGCGATGTTCCACAGGAGTTATGTGCACATACAGAGTTAGGTATATATGGTTTACAGCAAGAGTCAATCCAGAATCTGAGCAAACGATGCTAATAACTACAGTCTATCTCTTGAAGAGGTATTCTTGGTTAAATAAATCGGGGACACGTTGAAGGATCGGCTCCTTCGGCAACAACGTCCCTGGAATCCTAACATATTTCTACCGTGTCGTGTAAGTTACAAAAGGTATCGCCATTTTTCCCTTGGAAATCGTTTATAAAATCTTTACGAATCCCCGGGATTCTTATTCATCAACATCCAGGCGAAATACCCGGCGCGATCGGCGAGTGGACCCGTACGCGAGCGCTTCGTTAGCCGGTCCGTACGCCTCCCGGTGGAACGCCTGGCCCGCTATCCGGGATATTTAATGAACGCCGGGCAACCTGCCCCGGCACGCGGGAAAGTTTTTACCGCGGCCCCCGTCGAAACAAAAATACCTGTCCGGCCGAAGAAAAAGCTCGTGGCCGCCGGTTCGTAGGCGCAGTTCCGCGTATGATAGATACCTTACAGATATCCGTGACATGATCTGCGCTCGGTGTGGCGGTACACGAATCCCGTACAAGAATATTAATTGTGCTTGCCAAGGGAGCAAGGGAAAGGGAGACAAGAGGCGAACGGACAGAGAGAACCAGCTGGTACCGGCGCGCGGGCGAGCAAACGCGTCCGTGAGGGTCCGCACACCGCCTCGTCCCAGACATAATCTCAAAGGGTTAGGTTAGCCGCTTGCCACACGAGCGCAAGAGGGCAAAACGAGGATATTTCAGAGTGGTACGAGGGAGGGAAAAAACGAAGAGGGGGCGCGGTGGACGTGCAGAGGAGGAGAACGAGGAGGAGGAGGAGGAGGAGGAGGTGGTCGGAGAAGACGAAGAAGAAGAAGAAGAAAACTCCTTGGTGAGCATTCGAGGCAAACGCCGCCCGTCGCGCTGTCGGCCGATGAAGACGGATGGCGATTCTCCTCCGGAGCGAGAGAGGGAGAATTCTTGGAGGGTTCTGCGTCGCTCGACCGGACGGAGATAGAGGCCCGAGGGAGAGGGAGAAACTCTGGGAAGATGCCCTCTTGTTCCCTCCCTCGGGCTACGCTCTCAAATTAACAACATACCAATCTCTTTACTTATAACTTTTAACGATTTGGCTAGCTCGACCAAGGAAAGAGTTATCTCCCGCCTCGGCCGCCATTGTCTCGACAAGACTGGAACGGAGCTTCGAAGATCGCTACAAGTATTGTGATTCTAGAATCTCTGGACCAAGCCTGCTTTGATACTTCTAATAATATTGATCCTCTAACGAGTGCCCGATTCGTCTGCACGGTTTCAAACGACCACGCGGCGAACCTCGAGACCGAAATACGATGTCGACGATGTTTGTCGCGAAGCTGGAGTCCTGCTCGACCAATCAAAGGATCCCCGAGATAAACATAGATCCCTCGTTTCGTCAAAGAGGCTTTCACGCGCGTTACAACTCGTATGGCCGAGCTTATTAATATTCATTCGTCAGACGGTTAATGAAGGCACCTCTTGAAACACCGGCTACACACTGACCCAGAAGATCGTCAAAGCGTTCGCGGAATTAACGTACGGGCTGACGTGCTCGAGCTGCCGTGCACCGATTAGTTTATGCCTCTTTATCGATAACAGTCTTATTACAGAAATTTTAAACGATTCGCGAACGAAGGATTTACGTGTACCATCGGGGTACGAAAATTGCACAGGCTTTGAAACGGCCAACCAACGGGCAGCGGACCGGTCAAAGAGATTCCTAATAACGATGGCGCCTCAAAAGCGGTCGTTGACTGATTCCCAGTACCCGACGCGTGCAACTGCTTCCTATTAAAGTTCGTTTGTCGTACCGAGAACGAAGATGGTATCATCGCGAGACGCGTCGCGATCAAGCTGCTACAAACTCCAAAATAATTCCAAGTCGTTACATTTTTCCTGGCGTCGGGAATGGGGATCCTCCGTGTCGACTCCGCCCTCGGATAACTATTACCCTAATAACATGGTGGCCGAAGGATATTAGCAATATCCTACCGGTTTAAATATGCACGGTTCGCGATTCGAAGTCGATCGATTCCGCCGGCGAGGACTCGAATCTTGATTAGCCTCGTCTGCCGGCTGAATTAGACATTGGTCGGTCCGCTTTTTCTCGTTGGCCGAGCATGCGGGCTTAATTAAAGAGGCGTTCTGTGCCCGACAACACGCTCGTAACAGTAATGCGTGCGGAAAACGGCCGCATGTATGATTATGCAGACTACGGAGGACGCGAACCGGAATCGATCGAAAAAGAGAGAACGCCGCTTCGACCTCGTTTTAGCGAAAATAAATGAAATCGCCTAGGGAAGGTACGCGTGATCGAGTTTGGGGGTTACGTGGACATCCCCCTGGATTCAAAAGTCACAGAGAACTCAAAGAAACTACTTTGCCTTAGGTAGAAATAGAGTTAATCTATTGTCTCGTTATCTTTATTATTATATTATATATTCTTTCACGATCCTATGTAAGCAGCCTATAGGTTTCTAATCCCTGCAGTTAAGTGACATTATCGACTGAAGGCATTGCAGAGTAAAAGTTATTTATTCAGTCAGTCGAGTTTCTTGAACCAATGTTCAACCATTCCATTTAACTATTAAAGGAAAAATATCCTGCACCTAGAAATTATTTGACGAACACAGCCGAAGAAGGAAAATGGACAGCGTCGAAAGTTAACGAGTTGCACGCAACGGAGTTCGCAGTATACGAGGCAATTGGGAATTTTTTCAGAAAGAAAGGCGCCAGGACTGGAGGCAGCGATATTAGTTTGGATCCTAGGCGCTCCAGAGTCCTTGAGACGGTGCGAAAGCGTTATCCGCGCGCGCGATCTCTGGCAAATTAATCACCGCCGCGCAGCCTTCCAGGCTGGAAAGAATTTAATGGTGTGTTTTCATCGTGCGAACACGTCGTGGGAAACGAAGGCTGGGGTGTGCGCGGCTTTCTTTCGCCGGTTGACCGCTAATCCAAGACGCGTGGAGGCGCGGAACAGCTGAAACAACGTCGCCCGAGGGAGGCTGGGAGGATCGCGATCAGGAAAAACGGTTCGCTCTGGGAATTCACCTCGGTCCGGAAACCCCCGAGCAACGCGAAGAAGTAGTTTTTTTCAGCATCGCGCGGAGGACGGATCATCGACGGCGCGAGGCGCACGGAGCGTGTTAAAGAGGTCGATAACAAGAAAACCTGGTCCTGGGGTAGCCTCGGTTTATGCTGAACCGGCGTTGCCGGTGCTCTCGCGGACGGAGGTGACTTTAAACGCGGGGCAATAAATTAACGGCGTTGGGTTACGCAAGGATCAAATGTCCCCTGGAGTATGCCCGAGAGATTTATGGGTCTGCCTTCACTGGCGCAGCATGAAGGAACGGAACGGAACAGAACAGAACGTACACAACCGTGCGGGCTTATTATAGGCTAGTTGCTCCGCTTCTCCGCTTCTCCTCCAGCCGACTGGTCTCTTTCAGACCCGCCGCAGGATACACGCAGGACTTTTCAGACGAACAGCTAGCCGGATGTTGTAACCCGCTAATAAGGCGCGGCCACCACTCGCTGCCCAATTAAGCTAAGCTTTACGTGGGCACCTTAAGGCCAGGCCTTGAAACGCTCTTCGATTAGATACCCTAGATATCCCATTAATTTTATCGCTCGCCCTCTATCCTTCTTCTGGACCGTTTCGAGCCCGTCGGGATTATATGACCGGTCGACGTCGCTGACAGAGGTTCAGATTAATCGCGAGGAATCCGTTGAACCGCCCTGGCGAACGCGACGGATATTTCGGGGGATCTCTGACCATACCCCCACCTAACCTCGGCGACGACGATTATTTTAACACCTGCCCAGGTAACGATCTCGCGAGCTTTCCGAAACTACGTGGAAATAACGGTTCCGACCGGCATCCCTTTAATCCCGACCACGAACAAGCGATCGAACTTCCTCCGGTTCTACGGTCCGCATCCGTCCGAGCCACCATATATTTTAAGCGCGGCTATCCGTCTTGCTTTTTGTATTTCCGTTCCGGGCTGCTTTATGTCACGTTGTTTTCGTTCGAACTTTCTTCGCCGGGGGACCCTACGGTTTTTGCCAGCCGAACGGAGACACCACGGGCCCCTCCGCGCAGGGGTCGCACCACGCCGACAAGATAACCTTCGTTCAGGAATTTCGCCGGTTGTTTATGCGCGGCACCGCGAGGAGGGTCGCATTCCTGCCCTCGCGAACTTCCTCGATCCGCCGTCGAAAAAATTATTAACGCCTCCCGGCGATCGGAACGACCCGTCTTCCGTTCGTTTCCCCCCCCGGTAATCGAACAGCTGGCCGCGATTACTCTCGCGGACGGGCTCTCCTCCCGTGAGCAGCCACCTGGACACGAACCGTAGACGACGACGCGGGGATGGAATTCGACAGAAGTCGCCGCGACGGAGTAAGAAGAACGAAGAGTCCTCCGACACTCATAGAGGGGACTTAGAGAACCCCGGGGAGAGCGGTGTACCCGATAGGAAGAAGCCCTCGGTTTCCTTTTTTTGTCCCGCGGCCAGACGAGCAGACAACCGGACAAGAAGACGGAGCCCGAAAGCCCGGAGGAGAGCTGGAAGGTCGAGATAATGAGCAGCGAGAATGGCCCGGCACGACGTATGCATTTGTACGGGGGATATCACTCGGCTTATCCGATGTCCTACTTTGTCCGCCATCGTTCCTTTTCATTTACACCTGCTTGTCGCGCCTCCGTGGGCGGATGTGAGAAACGACGCGCCAAACGGACGCA